AGGTTGAGTGTGTGCTTATCTGGAAAAACAATAAAAAAAAAATAGAAGTGAAATGCATATGAATGCATAGCTCCTTATATATGTTAACACACACACATTTGCCTATATATGATATTTCATATTTAAGCTGTGAGTACAACAATAAAGGACAGTGTTGTGTTGGAAATATTGTGATTCACAGTGGTCAAGCTGACTTGTCTTATTGTTTAGTACCATGCTGATTGGGTATATATCCATATCCCGTTGTATTACAACCATCCTGTATGTCTTTTTTTATATTCAACTAACATTAATGATAACACCTTTATGTTGATATCGAAATACGGGAAAACCAAGTGAGGAATCTATTTTGAGATTCAACACATGATAATGACATAGTTCTCATTTTACCACGGTTGCAAGATGGTCTTCAAGACTTCCCAGCTATTTGAATTTCGATGTAACTAAGAAATAATGCAGACGGAAACAGCCGATTGGAACGCTTGTCCATTTGTTCTGAGAGTCACTCGTAAGGGATTTGCGAAGGAGTTCTTATATTCCTTTATCTATCCGAAACTCCGTTAGTAATCTTCGCTATTCGTTTCGCCATCTCAGTCGATAGATCAGTCACCTTCTTCAGCTCTGCTGCTTCTGCGTGTACGTGAGAATTTCTAACACCTCTGAAATCTTCAAACAAATATAAGTTTACAACACAGACAGAATACTGTCTTCGATTCGCGTATGTCCAGCTGAGCAATTTATGACTAGCGATTTTTCTACATACCAAATTCAACACATACCAGTCTACGGAATATTCACAAATCAATGTGTTACATGGTATGCGCATACCAGATGTCTCTTCAATCCAGATTGAATACCCAAATTTCTAACATCACCATCATCCGTACATATATTGTGCCCAATCGCGTTAACCAGTTTAACTGTAGATTCATAATTATTAGTCTAAATTTGTAGTTAACTACTGTTGAAGAATATCATGGGTTAATTGCAGTTAAGATACATACCATCTGGTACTTATATGTGACACATTTGAACTCATCAGTCGATCATTGTTAAACCACCATTAGTAACTTGGAAGCACTGAACGGCCGTTTCGTCCTGATATGGGACTCATCAGCAGTAAGCATCCACGACTCCTGCACCTCGCATGATTGGAACCCGGGGCCTTCGGTATTCGACCACTGGGCTGGCATTCAACGGTGTTAATGTCTAACTCTGATTGATCTGTATATATATATATATATATATATATATATATATATATATAAGGGAGATTCTAGTAAACTGCTTCTCATCGCTCACTAATTAACAAGAATGATCTGTAAACTCATCCTCATATAATCACTCTCGAAACAATTATCAAATAGGAAATGTACCAACCATTTAATTTTTTAGTTATTCGATAATTATTCACTTGTATGCAATTCAAATGTTGAATTTTGAACTTCCCCCACCCGCCCATTTCCTGTTTTTAAACAATTCTAAACAACGATATTGATGATAATAGTAATTTTGAAAAATTCCACTTCTAAATAATATGTAGAAAACTAAAACATATGGGGTTTTTTTGGATTAGTTAAAGGTAACACGCAAACTTGTCAAATTTTAGTTTATTCTTCTACTCCTCAACCTACTCTTCCACCTCCAACTACAACAACAACTTGATCATTAATAAGAGAAAAGAGCATTAATTCCAATGCCTGTGTGTGTGTGTGAACAATTTGCGAAAATAGTCTGGTAATATTGAACGCATAGAAAGAAGATGCGAGAAATGCCGGACTAAAAAAATAATTAGTCAAATATGAAACACATTGAAATCAATTAACATGAGAAAACGCAAGACTTATTGATAATTGCAGTAAATTATGTCTCGGTAACTTCTAAGTCTAATGCCGAGCCAATCAGGATGGAAAAAGTGACTTCACTATCATAGTGTATGCATATCAAAGCAAGATGTTGACTATTGTTCAGGTGATAGTACGTTTCAATGAAGAAACCTCAGTAGTTATTACTTCCACGTCATTGCATTGTAAAGAAGAAACCCTGAATGGTGAATGCACGAATGAAATGACCATCAACTAATTGATCTGAACAAATACGAGATGAAGTCATGCTTTAATGTCTTACAGGTTTAAATTTAAAACTGAAATTATGGTTGTGTTTTTTGGGTTACATTTAAGATTAGAATTGAGACCAGATTGTGAATGATTGTTTAGTTTTACAAAACATGTAAACTAAACGTAAATTTAATACCAGCTTTCAAATACTAATTGTAGACTTCAGATCTAACTGTGTACAATCGATATCCAATTTCGAATAGTTCATTAATCATCTGAAAAAAGGATATGGTTTCACGATGGCAATTATTGGAGTCTTGAATAGAATTTGTGTGCGGCATCAACATAGTATTTGGATGAGCCAAGAAAAATTGATGGCGAGATGTTTAGGTTTTCGTGCAAAACTGAATAATGAGGCAACATGTGTGATAGAAGCATCTACGTATATTATTCGAGATGTTCAATATAGAAACGAAAATTATTCTTTTGTTTAGATAGAGTAAAAATGATAATATTAGATGTTTTGAAAGCTGACTTTTCTCTTCATATATAGATTTTAAATAACTGTTAAATTTGCATTTCCTCTAAATTTCATCGTTTGATTCTGAAACGAATGTCTTCTTCTGTGGCATTATACATCACAGACGAGTTATTCAGAGCTAAGTTATCGCCTCTTGGTTTTCTGTAAAGGTTCACTCATTCACCTACCTACAACTCATTTCGCAATTGTAGCTAATATCAGTTCTTGATGAAAATTCTAACCCTGAACCTCTATTCCTCACGACACTAGCGGTCAACTGAGTTTAGTAAAACCGTGATTTTATAAAGTAGCCAACAGTAGATGCTATTCAATGATGCATTTAGGTAGATTCCATTGAAATAGCATTTTAGTAGTTTATTTAAAGCCTATCATAGAAAACCAGTATTGATTACAATTCGGAATTAGAAAAGATATAAATCACAAGAAAGCGATTGACTATATTAGTTTCAATGATAAAACCGATATGTGAAGAGTGCGTACATTCACCAGAATTTCATGGTTCCATGTTGATTTTGATCTGTATTAAGAGAAAAAGATAATAAGTGTAAAAAGAGGATTATTCTTTCTTTATTGAAAATAACAGTAAAGAAAATAATCGCCATTTTACTACTTTTAACTATCCATTCAATGTTCAGTTGATCGGTGAAATTATCAAGTGCAACTTTGATATTGATACATGCAAAGTTGATCAATAGATTTATAGGTGAGTTATCTACAGATTGATCAGTGATCAGTGATCAATCCTAGGGTTGTTTATTCTTTTAGTGCTGATCGGTTTCTATCAATTAGGTTTCCATGTTGTTCTTAGACTAAGTGATCAAATATCATGTGCACTGTACTGGAATGCAACGTGGTTGGAAATGGTCGACAGGAAATTGCTAATCGAATTGTAACTTGATCGACAGAACTTGACTAATATTGAGAACTAGACAAAGATGAGATTGATCACTACTCGAAACCAATTAATCGCAGATACATCTCAGTCCTACAGGAGGTTAGATCGTGGTAACTGTGAAAAACGGTGAAACTAAATGATACAAGTTTGAATTGCACACTGAGCTTCCATTCCTTCGAAATAGCAGGTGAGCTTTCTTGATGAGTTCTAATTAGCACAAAACTGGGGTGCGTAGGATACACTGCAGACTATCACCAGACAGCTAACAAAATATGTCTACACTCGCTTGTTAGTTCTTGAAATTTTAGCGAACTTCATTATTATTCCCTGAGAGAAACAGAGACCAATTCAATAATTGTGAGCATTAAAAAATAAGAATAAAATTTTTAATGATAATACGACGTATCCTCTGTTCCGTCGCCTTATGAACAATCAAAAACGTAGATTTTTGAACGTTCAATGTAGAGTCCACTTTTAAGAAATACTGTTGTGGTGCGCGCTACTTATAAGTAGTATATGACGTGAGTGTCAACGTAATGTCTGGCAGCAGAAGATGGGGGAAGATCAAGAAAGGAAGAGTTAGAACACAACGGAATTTGTATGAAACGCATGAATAGTGACAATCGATTGATGTTGTTTGCAACAGGAACAGTCCAGTTCGATATGATGGACTGATATTTTGCAAAGAAATGATTTACGATATGGTTTTCCGATTTTACTGAGTAACTCTGTAATTTTCGATAAACACAATCCGGTTGCCCCACCTGTGTTCTCGATCATTACACTGAGATTTTTTTAATTCGGTAACAATATTCTCTTCGTGTCACTCCAGTCTATGATTTTGTACAAATATTCAAACACCTAAATGATCATCTCTTTAGAGACATGTTTGTTTTCATTGGATTCCCAACGGAATAAGAGTTTAGCAAGCATTAGATGACCAAAGTTGTTTCCAAAATGGCCATAATTACGGACAATTATTTGTAATGAACATGTTTTGTATGAAGAGATCACGTGATTTGGGTAATACAAATAAAATATTGTTACAGAATTTGAAAAAAAACCCACAATATTTGTTAAAAGTAGATTTGACATTGAATGTTTAATAAAACTACATTTTTCTACTTACAATGGTCATCAAAATTAAAGTCAGTAATAGAAATCCTGAATAAACAATATTCTTCACTCCTCCCGCCTATATTATATAAATACACAGTAATTGCCAATTGATTGGAGTTAGAAATATAAGCAACTTGGTTTTGACTTAATGATCTCAAAGTCGATCCATTGCAATGTGAAGCAAATTTCCTAGTTCCCAAATCTGGTCTACACAGTTATCCGATCTTTGTCACAGTTTGACCCAAGGAAAGTCCATTCATCTCTAACCATACCTCTGACATAATGCAGACAAATTGAATGAACTGACTTTACACATCGATTCATAGGCGAACATGCCAATAACAAACATGTATTCTTATTTTCAATCCCACTTGTTTTTGCCTCAAATAAAAGAAATTTAAATTATTCATTTAATCTAATCAATATTTGTGTAACACACTCTCTCTCTCATTAATTTTTTACTACAATGTTCATCTCTTCATTGAGTTAGCTGATTTTGGTCAGTTGTGTTGTTGTTGTTCGTGCTGTTACATATACCTCTCGTTCTCCTTCCTTTTCTTGTTAATAAAATCATTATTCATGTTAATCGAAAAAAATGATTAGTTTATTGCGTGATATAAAAAATTCTCAGGTAGAAATGCTTATTTGGATATTTATCACAGTGTGTGTGTATTGTAGAGATAGATTTCTCTCTACTATGTACATTCGAATACATTGCTTTCAAGTTGATTAGACTAATAGTTTATTTTGGCAACAGCTTTTCACAATATAAATTGAAAGTTGATTAGTAGTGAAATATTCACCGGATATCAATTATTGTACATTGTATTCATTTCAAACAATCGATTAGAACTTCACCCTATGCTCATCCAATAAACCGTGTAGAAAATCAGTTCACTAACTGTAAGATTTCTTATGTGAATATGATTGTAAGTGATGAAGGGAGTGGATTAGTCATCAACTGTGATGATTGTTGAATACTTCAAATTAACTGACTGGTTTATAAATGTCAACTCAGTGGTTGCAATGTAACTTAGTTTTTTGACTGACTGACGTTCTGGGGTTTGACCTGATAAGGTTTCGTTCGTGAGAGAATATTAGTGATTTGTGGTCTCAGAATAGAATGAATCAGTTGTATAAATCTTTCTAAGTAAACTTAAGTACTCAAACTTAAAAACCTTCAAAGATCTTCCCTCCTCACTATCAAACAGGAATAACCAGTAGTCTATCAAATTTTTCACCAATCCAGAATGATTTAAACTGACAGTGAAGACAAGGGTTTGTAGGTGTGTTTGTATGTGTAAAAAAAACTGTATTGCGAACTGACTAGGATTGTTAATCTCAAATATTCAATTGACGATAGACGAGTTCGTTCATAATTAGGGAAGGCTGATACTAATCAAATGTTTCATAACACGAAGAATTTATTATTTATTACTTTTCTAATATTCAATGTTTCACTATGTGACATTGCTTCTTGGTCGAAGTTATCTTTAAGTACATTAGGAGTTAAACGATTCCAGTTGTCACAGACTGATATCGATTGTACTAGGAATCAAGACTAACTTACACAGTCGTCCATTTATTAGCATTAATGTATCAAACCCTACAAAGACACCGACAAATACATATAATTATCAGAATTAAGTGAAGGTTGCTTACTCTGACTCTTTCTCTTTCTCTTGGTGATCGAATGGATTATGAAAACGTCGACTTCTGGAACGAAGCATGTGATACGGCGGACAGCTAGGATGCAGTTGGGCGATCTACTTTTTGCGGATGATCTGGCTCTTCTATCGCACACGCAACAAAAAATGCAATAGAAAATGACTAGTGTAGCAGCAGCCTCAACAGCCGTATGTCTCTCAACATACACAAAGGGAAAAGCTAGACTCTTCGATACAACACAGCCTGCATAAACCAAATCACACTTGACGGTGAAACTTTGAAGAATGTGAAAATCTTTACATATTCGAGCAGAATACTTGATGATTTAGCTGGATCTGCTGCAGATTTGAAAGCGCGGAGGACAGCATTTCTACAAGTGAGGAAC